TGTTTTGTTTCCCAAATATCTTCAAATTGATCATCTTGACATCAAGATGCATGGACATAAGAAAAAAATAGATTTCAAGTTTTGAAAATAGTGTATTTTATAATGCATTTTTGGATCGTTAATTTTCAAGTTTTTATAGATTTGTTGATGTACACTATTTTTAAAGCTTTAAACTTTATAAATAAAAATGAAAATATATTTTAAGCCTATCACAAAGATTTCCAATATTGAAACCACATGTCTATACTATTTAAAAGTAGGCTGTTGTTTAGAGCCTAGGCTTCATACAAGCCGCACCCCGGAGAGAAAAAAGAGTAATAAAAGTGTTTGCCTACTCGGGACGAGTTCCAAGCACTCAGGCTTGCGACCCTGGCGAGCATAACCGAGTTGAGCATCTAACTCAGAGAACTTAAAAAAAGTTAAAAAAAGAAAATCCCAAAAATAAAGAGTCTATTTGTAATAAGTTTTTTTTAAGGGTGCGGTTTGTACATATCCTAGGCTCTAAACAATCAAATTAGAGCCTACCTTCAAATAGTGCCAAAAAATGTGTTTTCAATACTTGAAATCTTTGTGACAGCCTTAAAATATATTTTTATCCTTATTTATGAAATTTAAAGCTTCAAAATAGTGTTGATGGGCTGATCTCCGAAAACTTGATAATCTTGAAAATTGACGATTCAAAAATGCGTTACAAAATACATTATTTTCAAAACTTAAAATCTATTTTTTTTGTCATGTTCATGTATCTTGATGTCGAGATGATAAATTTGAGGATATTTGGGCATTAAAACAATCTCTTCTAGTGAAATTTTTGAGGTAGGCTCTAATTTGATCATTTAGAGCTTGACTCTTTATAAACTTTTCCCTCTTTTTATGGTTTTTATCATTTTGGCAAAGATTGGAAAGTATTTTGGCCTTTTTACTTCTTTTTTTCCTTCTTTTTTTTATTATTTCTAAAATAACCTTGATCACAAATTTATTTGTTCAAAGTCCATTTTTTGTCACTTTTTTTAGCTTCATTTTGATGTGTATTGTTTAATTTACTTTAAGCACACCTTTTCTAGTTTTTAGATTTTTCTTTTGTATTTTATTTTAATGCTTTTTGTTGCTAACCCAATTCGGACCAAGTAACTCCTACTTGGGATTGGGCCCAGCACCCGGCCCGAGTCACTATTCCCAACAATGGGCAGTCGCTACAAATGCAAGGGCAGTATGACACCAGACCCTTTTTGTTTTTTTTCTTGCAAAGTGCTTTTGCTTTCCCCAAAGACAAGTAATCCACCGGGAATCCCGGAAAATAAATCCTAATAAATAAATGGGAACTATTTTGGGCCCCATAAAAACGCTGCCTTCCACTAGTCCTTCAGTTTTACTGCTGTAGAATTTGAGAAAACCGGTAGATTGAACCCAACAATGTCCTCAACTTTCGCCCATCTTTACATTTCAACCACCTTTTGATGCTCTAAAAAGTCAATAAAAGTCCGTAAAATTTATGTAGCCGTATTCTACCTGATTAAAAATGAAAAGAGTATAGAGCCGGGGCTATAAACAATCGAATTAGAGCTGATCTCAAAAATTTCACTAAAATAGGTGTTTTGATGCTCAAATATCCTCAAATTGATAATATTGACATCATGAATCATGATACATGGACATGAGAAAAAAAAGAATTTCAAAATTTGAAAATAGTGCATCTTGTAATATATTTGTGGACCGTCGATTTCCAAGATTTACAAGTTTTCATAGATAAGCTTTGTAGGGTTCTTGGGAACCCCTAGCTTGCGAAACTAGGAATTCCAAATATGGATCTCACCCAAGATTGTATACATGATTGGCTAAATGCGAAGTAGATGAATATAATTATAAACCGAGTGCAAAAAATAAATCAAACATGAAAAATACACACCACAACACATAATTTACGTGGTTCACCCCATAGGGTTGGCCTCAGCAAGTAGAATTCCACTATCACAATGAAGATTACAGTTTTAGGTTACAAGAGATAATATTTATCTCTAAACATCGGTAAAAGACCATCAGCTTTCTTTCTAAGCTCACTTTCCCGACCAAGCAACATCGTCGATCAATATCTTATTTCTCATTACAATACCGCTACCAGAAAGATAACCTCGAGAGCAACCGAGAGATTTTATCTGTCTAGAAGTGAAAGTTAACAAACTCAAAACTCATAGAAATACTGCCTCTCTCTCGGAAGCCATATCTTTCTTGGAGACCCATCTCCATATTGGATATCCCTCAAAAGGATAAATATTATGTTATCCTTGATCCCTTCTTATAGAAATCATTTGAGCTTCTTTCTTGCTTCTCAAGAAAATCCATTTTTATTTGGGCAAGCTTTCTATGCTTCCTCTACAACATAAAACTTATATACTTCCCCTTATCCAACCGTCCATTCTGAATGGAGGGCTAAGATTGTCCCAATCACAATGTCACATCTCTACACTACTTTATTTTAAATTTTTTTATATAAACTATTTTGATAACAACTTTTGTACGTTCAATCCTCTATTAAACTCGCACTAGCGAAAAATATATATAAAAAAATTCCAATAAAATAAAATGATCAAAATACCTCTGAAAATTTCAAGAGATATTTTGGTCATTATATTTTATCGAAAAATTATTTTTAATATTATTTATAAGTGCACCCCAATGAGAAGATTGCACGTACCAAATTCCATACCCATACAATTTGTATAAAAAAACTTAAAAATAAAATACTTTGAGATGTCGGATCTAAAGATCAAACGGTGAGTAGCTCTCTTGATCAAAATTGGACAGCAAGCATAGATCTTCCATGTTGTAGGGAGAAAGCATAGAAACCTTTCCGTTTTCATTTTACCATAATACTATTAATCTTTGAAAGAAAAATATAAGTATGGTGATTTGGCAATCACCAAACCCAACAAGCTTGATCAATACTATTTTTGAAGCTTTATATTTTATAATTAATAATAAAAATATATTTTAAGAGGCTATCAACAAAAATTTCCAGTATTGAAATCACATTTCTTGGCACTATTTGAAAGTGCCTTTACTTTAATTGTTTAAAGCGTCAACTCTGTACAAACCGCACCCTTATATTCCTTACAAATTAAGTCCAACATCATCTGAAAAATAAAATTTTAGGAGGGGTCCTTATTTCTCCAAACGAGTCCTTGGACTCGTAGAAACCTTAGTACTAATTTTTTAATTGTCCTATAGACTCCTAGCGAATAGGGGTTGCAATTGGGTCCCGTGGACCAGCTGGGTCGGAGGGTCTGAGTCCATGTGTCGAACTGGGTAAGTTGAGTCTGGGTCCAAATGACATGGATCCGACCCACTTGGGTTAGGGTTAGGTGGTTAGGGTTTGGGTCTGGGTCTTGGTCGACCCCACCCTGTATAAAATATATATAACAGAACAATAAGTTTTTATTTTTAATTTTTAGACCTAGCCCCAGTCCCAATAAGGGATTTATTGAAATACCTAAACTTTGTTTTTCTTTCCCCATAGCATGCGATCTGCCCATTTTTTCTAGAATTCTCATCAAAATTCAGTTTAACCCAAGAGCTGGGAGGGGGTTTCCACAATGCAACTTTCCCAACTCTCATCTGTCAACAATGGATGAGCCATCTTGATTTTCATCTCTTTCCACGATTTTTTTTTCTCAATAAAAATAAAGGGATTTATTGAAATACCTAATATAATATTTTTTAAAAATTATATAAGGATGACACCTCACACCATAATTATAAAATTAAGGTGCGCTTCAAAAATCCAATAGAAAAAACTATTTCGATATTGGAAAACCGTCTTATTGGTCTTAAGATCTTTGATCTAATTGTATGGTTGAAGGGGACCCTTTGAATGTCATCAACTTGTACAATAAAGAGTAGAAGGTTTCATGGGAGATGAGATCATTCTTGCTTCAAATCTTTGACCTTTCACCTTCATTTTATATGTTCTTTATGCATGTGTATCGGGAGGCTAATGTTTTGGCCGATAATCTTGCAAAAAACGGTATTTCTCTCACAAAGATGCTTGTCTATGATGATGTAATTTTGTAGTATTGCTGTATTTCCTCTGATGGTTTAATAATATTCTTGAACTTCTCTTAGAAAAAAAAAACCATCTTATTGGTTATATTGGCATCGAGATAAATAGATATAAAAAAAAAAAAATTTTGAAGTTCCAAAAATAGTACATCTTGACAGTCCATTTCAAGATTTCCATATGTTTATAGATTTACTTGATTTGATCAACTTTTGGAGTTTAAAATTTTGTAGTTAGAGATAAAAATAAATTATCGGGCCATTAAAATTTTTGAAAACATAAAGTTTGGAGGTATGCATTACTTTGATCAACCTTATGCAAGCCTCCCGTTAATAGGAAAAGTATATAATAAGACTATTTACCGTTTGCACAAGATGGTGACAATTTATCTTGACCATTAGATATCCAATCAGGTGGCTGCCGTTATTTAATTGACCAAACTCAAAAAAAAATTTCTCAAATTTAGTTACACCTAAGCTTGCAGATTTCACATTGGATGGTTATAAGTATCTATCACCGCCCTTTACAAAAGGTGCAATCCCCTTTTAATATTGTGCCTAATTGCAACCACCCAAACTCAAGGCCACATGTCATTTTATTGGTATTTTGAAATATAATAAAAAAGTATGTAAATAAATGTTAAATTTTTCATCTCTTGTGAGTAATTTAATAAATTTCTTGTAAAAATATCACCAAAATTGGGCAGCCAAAACACGCCCAGCCCCAATGTATTCCAAATCATTAAAGCTCCCAACCAGCTTGGGCTAGGCCAAGCTCCGCCTTAAAAAGCTGGGCCCATAATGTCGCCAGTTGCCTGAGCCGAGCCGAGCCGAGCCGAGCCGAGCCGAGCCGGAGCCCGAGCCCCGAGCCCGAGACAGACATTAATCTTTTTCTATTATCCATCATCGAAAGAAGAACAGGATCGCATTTAATAGTGCTAAAGACATTTCCGACGACAAATTTAATAAATTACGATTTCCTTTTAAGAGTTAGACGCATCATTTTCCAAAGGGCAGGCAAAAAACAAAAAAGAAAAAACATGACCATACCAGAAAATGGCATCAAAACCCATCACGAAGAAACCCTAGATCTTGTTATGTATCGAATTACCCTTTTTTTCTTTAAAAAACCCATCTGAAATTCTCTCATTCATCATCCTTGGTATCCAGCCATGCCGACGCTCCGCTCACCATCGCCCTTGTAGGCCTGCCAGAAGCCATTGCTCGCCGCCCTCACGTAGCACGTGTAACAGAGCTCCGCCGCTAGCAGCGCCACCGCAACCAGCCCCGCCGCCGCCTCAAAAACCCCTTTTCTTAGGGCGGCACACGACGGGTTCCACACACCAAAGACCCCACTGTACTTCGTATGATATGCATTCCTTGCCGCCCCGGCCACCAGGCATAGCTCTGCACTCGCCGCCATTAACCTAAAAATAAAAAGCTCAAACCCTTAAAAGAATGTTCTATAGAGAGAGATTCCATGATTTTAAACAGTAAACTGCAAGTGTTCAGGGAAAATAATATAGATCAATCAAATTCAAGGGAATTGTGGAATCTTTATCCGTAAATCTATGGCAAACTTCAGGATCTTTTGTTAAGATAATTTTTAGGGATTTAATATACCAGTAAATTACGAAGAAGATGATAGCTTTCGTTCTAGGGCCACCAGGGGTTAGACCCCTCCCACAACAGAGGCATTTGATGACGCTCATTAGCAGGCCTTGAGCTAACAGTACGGCGAAGAATGCCCCCAATCCAAGGCCCGTAGCGATGTCCGAGTCATAAACACAATAGGTAGCTTCGTCGTATTTATCAGGCACCACCTTCCCCTGTTTGCAAACAAATCAGCAAACAAGACTGAACACAAAGATCAAGATTTACCGAAAGAATGAGAAGGATTTCCAGATAGAGTGAAGAAATGCAGTGAAGAAGAAGCATACAGCGATTATTCAGTGTGAAAGAATAGAAACACGAGGATACAGAGAAGCAAAAGCAGAGAAAACTGCACAAAAAAAAGAGAATTAAGTGAGAGAAACATACAGTGCTTCTTCGCCTCTCGGCTGCAATGGCGAGAGCGAAGGCGATGAGATGGAGGATGAGGATCAGAGAGATAACAAGGCGCGAAGGTCTTCCAGCTTCCATAACCCTTTCTCCTCCTCCACCCTTCATTCTTTGAGTTTCTCTCTCCACCTTTCTTCTTTCTCACTCTAACCAGGGTTGGGTGCAGTGCTTCGTTAAAGTGCTGCCGTTACGTCACTGCACTGTTGCTGGTGCGCCGACCGGCTATAGCCCGTTGCAGGTCGTGTACGGACGGTTAAAGAAAGGAAATATTAGAAGGGTAAGTATTGTCTAGGGGAGGCATTTGGTCGGGTAAGTCCAGCCGGACCCGAACCCGCCTTGTCGGGTCCATTGCTACACTAGCTTCTATTTTTTTTTTTTTGCCTTTTTTTTCTCATCATATACCGTATTATTGACAACAAGTTCATATATATCAAATTATTGGCAACAAGTTTACAATCTGGTAGATTTCAAGTAGTCAGAATTGTCGTTTAATAGTGAAAGATGACAGATTTCAAGTGGTTAAGTTTGTCATTTAATAGTTTAAAAAAATAGATTTTAAATACTCAGATTTATCGTTTAATATTTAAAAATAACTACGAGTTCTTATTGTATGTGATCTTTAATCTCCAACAGTTTACAGGGGACAGGCTGGGTCCAGCTGAACCCAAACCAAGACACGAATATTGTTTGGGTCCAAATGCTGAATCCATACCCAAACCCGTATCTAGTACACCTGGCGTGTCTCGGGTCTGGGTCCATTGCCGCCCTTAGTGGTGGCCCTAGCCCGGGACACACACCATACCACTGGTGGATCGATTTTGATAGGACATAATGCCTTCATTTCCAGCAACGGAGGGCTAAGATCAACCTGAGGTCTTATGAGAGGATTGGAATGCTTGTAGAGTGCATCGACGGTGTTTGTTATACGGTGAGCGCTTTTGGACACCCACTAGTTGGTATACGATTAAGGTAGAGTTTTGCTGATGTGAGTCTCGAAAGTACCACGTACATTAAGCCATGGACTTTTTTTAAATATCCATAAAATATATTAATAAATCTTGGAAGGCATTTTTTATTATTACCATTAATATGTACATATTAATCACTAAAATAAATTTCAACGGTTGTATTATAATATGATGGAGCAATATTTCTAGAAAATCATGTTTGTGGCATTTGTATGATCTTAAATTTTGTACACACACTCTCTTCATCTCAATAATCAATCCAAAAAAAAAAATAATAATAATTTGAACCCTAGATATGGTTAAAATAAGTCCCCTCCCCAAACGAATCCAGACCATTCATTTTGTGAATTTCAAGATCTTAGCCGTTATAAATTCAAAATCATTTTTTTACTTTTTACCATTGTTCATCTAATGATAATAAAACCATCCAAAAAAATTGAAAATGAAAAAATCCTTCTAAGACCTAGATCTAAGCATCTCACCAAAATAAACAACCTATGTTAATTGGGCTTAAAAAATACTTTCTAGGTTGTGTTTTCAATTTTTTCTTTTTTTGTGATTGTTCATTAGAATGAAAAGTGTGCATATTTCAAAATTTGAATCAAACAAATGGATATAAGATAGTTGTTTAAGGCCGTTGCATCATATTACTATACAACGGTTGCATTAAATCATTACTCAAATTTCAATCTTAAACTAGCATATTTGATTATAGAGAGGTATAGAAAGTGAGGTACTTGCTTCGCGATAGGAGTTTGGAGAATTTAGTTAACATGAAATAGGATTCTTGATATTGTGATTACATAATATGCTAAATTGCTAAAGATTATTCAAGAATGTCGTTTCTCTCAATTGGTATATGACGATATTGTCTGAGAAGTCGAAAGTGATGGAATTTTCAGCGTTAAATCTGCATATTCGTTGCTCTTTTTATGACCACTTAAGTTGGAATTGTCCATCTTTACACAGATTATGGAGTTGGTCGATTCCTTTAAAGATTAGAGTTTTCTTATGGATTTTTTTTCAAGGAAACATTCTAACAATTGATAATTTAATGAAGATGAGTAAAATTATGGTTAATATGTACTTTATATGTAGGGCAATGGAAGAATGTGGAGATCACCTTTTTCTATATTACTCTTTTGCTTATCACATTTGGAGTTGGGTGCTACCAGTGGTTTAAAAAGCGGATCGGTGATCCGGATCGGCCATCTAAAAAACCCATCAGGATCGGCGATCCGGATCGAGAATAGGTCGGATTAAACTTTAAAAAAAATTTGAAAAAATTATTAAAATTCATTATAAATGTTTTTTTTAGGAATTCAATAAGAACAAAGGGTACTCCATTAATAATTTTCATTTCTTTGCATGAATATGCGAATATTGATATGTTTTTTCCCGGCATGAACTACTATTTACCATTTAATTTACATCACACAAAAGGATAAACATAGAATTATCATGGATTAAGTATATTATCATACATGAACGACAATAAAGCATACAATTTGTAACATACGATCTAAAAATAAAATGACAAACGACGTCGTTCTTCATCATGGTCACACTGATGTCATTGATTGAATTCAGGTGACAATTCATTGACTTGATCTAAAAACGAATCGTCTAAATTAGTGGGCACCTGACTATACCCAAATCCTTGAGTGTTAGTGTTTTGTTGTAGTCCTAATCCAAAATCCCCGAAGCTTGTCCATCGTTCATACTCACCTACACTATCGTGCTCATCCTGCCCTGTTGTTGTTGGGACTCGATATGTGAATAATTTGGCTGGGATTGAGTGGCCTCAGAATCATCATCTCTCTCATTTTCCCTTAGACCCCCTTCTCACTCTCCCTCATTTGGTGCAATATCACCAACATCTCTGACGAATTGTAGATACGATGGCGGGCTGCTTCCTCCTTCATGCTGCTCATCACCTTCTTCAATATCTTCCTCACCGAAAGCCTCAAGGAACGCTCTCTTGTGCAACACTGGCTCTTCTACTACCAATTGTTCTGCTGTGTTTGTAACAAATATTGTGTCCAAGTCTATCGGCCCATAGTCTTCAAGCTTCCTTCTTATTTGTCGCTCTCGGAGTTTTAAGTTGTAATGAACGTAGACTAGTTAATGAAGCTTCTCCGACGCGAGTCGATTCCTTCTAGTAGTGTGCACCCATTGGAACGTACTCCAGTTTCGCTCACAGCGAGTAGCAGAACATGTTTGGGAGAGCACCTTGATTGCTATCCTCTTTAGGTGAGGTGCATCACTACTATATATCTACCACCATTCAGCTGGATTAAAGTGTAAAAAGCATAGTAAGGGCAAGAACAATTCATAAGATTAAATATATGAATGAACAAAATATTAGTTAGGGGATAACCTGGATTCATCTTAGTTTGAGAATTCCAAGCAAGTCTAGTTTCGAATGATCCTATAGCATCACTATACATAGCAAGCTAAAACAAAATATTTCGTTTTAGTGCATTATTCCTCACAAATATAACAACTCAATAAAGTTCTTATCGAAATATTAAATAATACCTCTTGTATTGCTGCAACCTACTTTTGATGGCTTCTCTCCAACCTGGCAATAATGTATCTGACCCCTTTCATGATCTTGTGGGGATGTTCAGATGTCAAATAGAAAAATTTTGGGCTGAAGTAGTAACTTGGAAAATATATAGATAGAGTTTAAAATTTCATAAAAAAATAATTTAGAATGAAACATTCTAAATATAAATATATAATTACCTGCATAATGAATTGGACGTCTAAATTTGGGGTTCCACCTTCTTTCTATAATCTCGATCACTTTACTAGCAAAACTACACTTCTCCCCAATAGTTGATTTGGCTGTGATTATCTCTTTTTTCTTAGACTGTTCTCTGAAGAAAAATAAAATTTTATAATGGTATATATAAATCTTGACACCAACCTCGCTTCCTGTAGAATCTCCTTCACAATTTTGATCTCATTAATCTCTTCTAACATCAGATCGATGCTGTGTGCAGCACACGGGGTCTATCCTAGATGCTTCTTCTTATCCATCAACTTGCTGCCTGCAGAAACACAGGCACGCGCATTGTCCGTAATAAACTGGACTACATGCTTATCTCCTATCTTCTCAACTATCTGATCATATAGCCGTACATAGAAGTTTGCATCCTTCCTCGTCCCTGATACGTCTTTGCTAGACAAAAAAGCTGTACCTTTTGGGGAATAGGCAAAGAAGTTTACAAACTCCTTTTTGCTAACTTTATTCAACCAACCATCACTCATGAGAGTAATGCCGGTTCTTGGCCAACTCTGTTTATATTCTTCAATCTACTTTCTAACTTCCTCCACCTCTTCATCCAATATTGGCTCACTTAGCTCATATGTCGTCAGGGGTTCTACCCCGGACCCGGCGCTCTAGATTGCGTTGACCATAGGTGAAAAATATAGGCTATTGGCTGTATCAAAGGGGATCCCTTTATCGTAAAACTATTTTCCTATATATCTGCCCAACATGTTTCTCGTACTTTTCACTTTAAGGGTCATCTGTTCTGACTTAGGCTTTGAGAGAAATGAGTTTATTCGATTATGACCTGCAATACTGACATTTCTAGGTAAGCTAGAAACAATTTCCTCATCGTCTGATTCCTCTTGATATATATTGCCACCAATCCCTTCATACAGTTTTGAGCTGGGCCCGCTATATATGCTTGAGCTGGGTCCACCATGCAGGTCTGTGCTAGGCCCACTATACATGCCCATATCATAACCACCAGGCATTCTAAACCCGCGTTCCCTCTGGAATGTTTTATATAAACTCATTCTTGTGGCCATCTCCAAGTCATTATTATATTGCTCTTCTGGATCGTTCCCTCTTGATGGCGTATATAAACTAGCTATCTCCTCATCCATCTTTAGCTTTGCAATTTTTTTACCTTTGGTAACCTTGAGAAATGCCACCATCTGTTTTCTTATATTATTAGCGACACGATTGCACGCAAAAACATCTCCCGTAACCCCTGCCAAGTGTTGCTTGAACCTATATACCCCACTACTTATCACTCTTTGGCAGTAATTACATATAATTTTATCTTTTTTGTTGGGATCAAGTCTGACTCTATGTTGCCATGCAGGGTCTTCTGCAGACTTACCATGGTTAAACTTTAAAATGTTAAAGGTTAAAAATTAACCTGACAGTTGAACATGA